AAGAAGAAGAAGAAGAAGAAGAAGAAGAAGAAGAAGAAGAAGAAGAGGAGGAAGAAGAAAAAGGAGGAGGGGGAGGGGAGGGGGAGGGGGAGAAGACAACGATGATGACGACACAGCAGTCCTCAGCATACATGCTCCCAGAAACGGAGCTTCAAATAACATGTAGCAGAAACCGGCAGAGCAGAGACTCACCCACAGGCAGAGCTGGGGATTTCAACAGATCCCTTTTGGTAACTAAACAATAGCAGTGAGAAACCATGAAGGACACGGAAGAACTGAACAACCCTATCAGACATCTTCTCCTAATTGACATTTGTGGAGCACTGCCTCCTACAATGCCAGAACACATATTCTCTTCTAGTGCACGTGGAATTCACCACGCTGAGCCACAAAAAAGTATCAGTACATCTCAAAGGACTGAAATCGTACAAGGTAGGTTCTCTGAGCACAGAGGAATTAGAAATCGATACTTCCCCTGCCCCACAAACCTGGAAAACTCCCAAATATTTGGAAATTAAGCAATACACTTCTACATCATACACAAGTCAAAAAAGAAACCACAAGGCAGATGAGAAAATGTTTTGAACCAAATGATAAAACACAACACATTAAAATTCTGTGAGATGCAGCTAAAGAAGTGCTTAGAGGAAAATGCGTAGTGTTCAGTGCTTGTATTAGGAAAGAATGGTTTAAAGCCCCTGCCTCGCTTCACGATGTCCCATGAAGAAAACCCTGTAATAATCTTCTCTCTCCTAACGGGTCCCGGGACCAAGGCTGGGGACACGTTCCGACCTGGAACTAGGTTGGACAGCCTTGCTTGCTCCCCTCTCCCAGCCTGGTCGTGCACCCGGATCCATACATTCCTCTCTGGTTCTTTCTACATCTTCCCTGTCTGCGTGCCAATAAAGGGCACCGCATAGAGCGGGGACTCAATGAGGGCGATTATGACATTGGAATAAAATTCTTCACGGTTGTCTCTGGTTAGAAAATTCACGCTCGCTACAAAAAGAAAAAATCAGAATTGTAGAACATGCCACTCCACAGAGACAGCCAGTTTGGCGTATGCATGTTCCTTCTGATGTTTTCTGAGCATACACTAACACACATTGTAAACGGAAAGGAGATCATCCCCTGAACACTGTTGAGCGACTGGCTCTCCACCCCCTCTCTCATTTAACAATATATCACGAACATCAAGTCACTTTACAGGTTTCTTTTCAATAGCTGCCCCTTCACGTTGATTCATCATTAAATAATTAATGCTCCAGTGTATGGGTTTCCCACAGCTTACTTAATTATCCCCCTTATTAACACAGTTCGGGGTCGCCTCTCTTCCAGCATGCACCCTCACATCTCTTGTTCGACATCTGAGTGCTTCGGTAGAATAAAACCCACGGAGTGAAATCGCTGGGCCAGAGCATGCGCACAGTTCACATGTGACCCCACGGTGCCTGCTGTCTTTCAAAAAGTGCCTTTTTATACTCTCAACCAATTGTGAACACGAGTGTTCCAATCAACCCTGTTGGAGCGAACGTTGGTTTGTTTGCTTGTTCAGAGCTGTTTGCCCACAACCGAAGAGCCGGGAAATGGGGACATGAGAGCCGAGCCAGGGGGTGGCCACAGGGGACCCCGCCGTTCCCTGAGCTCTGGATGCAGATGGGCCTCACGGGGTCTTGTACTTATCAAGAACGCCTTCGAGAAACGCGAACTTTCTGAGTTAGCTGGATTAGCAGAAAAGGCCCCCACATGGCTCTTTAGCTACAAAACAGAAACTGTGATGAGCTTGCTCCGATCTTCCGTTTGGGAAAAAATCTAGGCCTATGATTTCATTTTTCATGATTGGTCCGTGGAAAGCAATGTGAATTTAAATACGTTTTTCCTGAATGACTCTGTTTGTGTAAACAAAATCCGGCATAGTGACAACGGTTTCCGTGAGGCCTGGCGCTCTACCACTGTTGAGGCTTTCGGAGCCGCCCTCGGCCGCTCACGCTGTTCCAGGCCTTCGTACGACAGTCCCCTTGATAAACACGTGGGTGCAGCGGCCAACAGACTGGTGCTCGCTCTCGGCAAAGACACCACAACCGTAGCTGCAAATTGAGCCTTGTAATAAGTCAAGAGGTAAAACCTAAAGAACAAGTTACCTGAATAATTTGTTTTGTTTTGTTGTTGTTGTTGTTTTCAAATCAGTGCAAGCCAAAGCATTTTTCACCCTAAGGTATCCAGAGTGCCTTTCCGTACTCATCAAATCAGAGCACTGCCGTTTGGTATTTTCACGAGGCTACTAGTACGACTATTTTTCATTACTAAACAGAACAATCGCTCCGCTCCCTATCTTCACGTCCCGGGTAGGATTTTCGTCGCTGATTCCTGGCTAGTCTCAGTGGCTTTGGAACTTTACGTTAGAGGCCACCTACTTGAAAGGCGTTTTCGTTTGAAACTTGATCCTTCTGGGCTGGTATATGTACATCCGTGCTTGTTTGTATACATAGATATTTGCGGGGCGTATCTGCAGGATTTGGAGATGTATATATGCGTATTTTACATTTGGGGCGCGGGTCTCGTTTTTCCTTCACAGCTAGAGGTTACTCGGGCTTGCGGAGCATTTATCAGAAGCGGCGGTGGCGGTGAGGGCGGCCCTTTCGCTCCTGGCAGCTGCATTGTTGTCTGTTCCGCTTTTTCCTCCTTTCTGGCCTTTATCCCCCTGAAGGGAGGCTGGCATCCGAGACCGCCGGGGGCCACCTCGGGACAGGCCCGGAGAACCGATTTCAGTATTTCCCTCTCCTCCTGGTAAAATATTTATTGAAACTGTACGAGCTTTCGAGAAGCCTTCCTCTGGTTCAGAAACTGTTTGCCCGTAAACCCGCTGGCCTGGGCTGGGGAGCCAAACGGGACCGGAGAAAATAAATCCGCAGCAGAGCTCCAGATTATGCGAGAGCTGTGGCTTCCGGGGAGACTGCAGGGGCCGGAGGAAGCGCCCCTGGTGCAGAGCACAGAGAAACCACTGCTCCCAAGGAGTGAAATATGATGACTAGAAAATGCATGGGCTCTTTGGGCGGCGGACGTGTTTTTATTGGTTAATGTTTTTATGGCCATATTCTCTGTGAGGAACCATCCCCGCGAAGACGGACCTGAAAACTGTTGATGGCAGAGAGCAAGAAAGAGAAGCAACACTGACCTCCTTCTCACCACCCCCACAAGGTGGGAAGGCTTGGGAGGGCAGTGGGGGAAGGGGGGCGGGGGCAGGTTCTGGAAACAGGGCGCAGCCGGGGCACTCACCGTTGACGAGGCCGTATTTCTGGGCCAGGAGGGCAGCCTGCAGACGTTTCCCACTGCCCACGGGCCCGCAAAGCAGCACCCGCGGGGTGAACGGGGCATTAGATCGATGGCTGGTTTGGGCATAGGTCAGAGCTGGAAAGAGAGGATAATGGGGATAGTAAACTCAGGTCCTAAAGGAAGGGAAACCAGCTTAAGGCACCTGCGCTCACGCTCTTAAGAACAGCGACGATTTCTCCCGTTTACAGCTGCGTGGAAACCCCCTGGGCGGCTGCCAGCCGCCAGCCGCCAGCCGCCACGGGGCGAAGCTGTGGGGAAGGAAATCCGCTTCAGGCCTGGGCACTAAGGCAGAGGGGGGCAGGGGATCCAGAGAAGCCACCTCCGAAGCACTGTCCACCCTGCGGTTCCTCTAACACCTGCGCTTCCCTCCTGGTCGACGGGGGGGGCTGGTCCCAGCACACAGGATGCACAAGGTTGGGTTGGGATGTTTCCACGCTGACCCTGGGCCGAGCCTCTAGCCTGAAGCTTGGAACCGGGCGTCTCCCAGTGTCAGATCTAGACTTTGATAAATGCATCAGGCCTGGAGGGGGCCTCGTGTCCGGGGACTTCTAAAGGGCACGGGTAGAGAATAACTTGCGGCTGCGCTCCAGTGACACCAACTTCATTGGGAGTCTCCAAAGAGACAGTGACCAAATAGGTCCCAGGAGTGGGCAGATGTGGGTGCACGGCTGGCCCGTGGTACGCCCTGGCATTTGATGAACAAAGAGGGGGAGGCACGGGGGCCAGCGTCTCCAATACTCTGGCGACTCAACAGCAAACCAGGTCACCCCTGACCTGAGCACGGGGGAGGGGCTGTGCAAGCAGCCGAGGAGGCCATTACAGGGCAGCTTGGCACCTGCTGATGCCGAGGGCCGGTGCCAGCTCCCCAGCCACCCATATCAGAACAGGTCTTCCTCTCTAGCCTTGCCTCCTGCCAGGGACCCAGACCGTCCTGCGTAGGGTCGGCCACGGACGGCCCTCTGGTGGCTGTCCTGCCTTTGGATGGATTTAGCTCTAGCAAGGGGCTGAGCCAACACGCGGCCTTTAGGGACCCAGCCACCCCCGAAACCAGGGTGTGCCAACTGCGTGCTCGTGGCATTTTGGGCACGTTCCTGGTCCAGGGGTTTGGGCACACCCACCAGGTGCCAGTGGCCCACTTCCAAGTTGTGACAACCACCAATGTCCCCAGGATGGAAGTGGGGGGCCCATGAGAAGCCCTGGGATGTTCATTGTATGAATTTTGACCTCTCAAATCTTTGTAGGATTTTTTTAACTGGAAGGATCGTTCTAGAGACCACAACTCCCCCCTTCTTTGGAGATCGAGGCACAGGTAAGTTAACCGACTGTCGTAAAGGTGGTGATTCTAACTGTCTTCATGACAACGTCATACCTACCAGCGTGTGTTAAACACTAAGCTAAACAAACACTCTGCGGACTTCGTCTTATTCGATGGGTGCAGCATTCCCACGAGAGATGTGTTATGTTCTTGCCCCATTTTACCGGGAGCTGGCAGGGCTGGGGCGATGCTCCCAAACCTGCGGCTGGGGTGACATTTTCAGCCCCTGAGAATAAGCTGGAGGCCATTCAAGCAAGGCCCCTCCAGCCTCAGAACTTCCTAGATCCACGGCCATCTGAAATGCACAGACACTACGGGCAGAGAAGCCTGCTTACAAATGATGCTTAATTTACAGTAAATAACTAAGTTAATTAGAAGTAATGATCCCCCAGACAGTCTCAACATCTAATTATTCTTTTTAAAAATATGTGGTTGCTGGATGCACTGCAGAGAGATTAAAAAAACAACACAGAATTCCGCACTCCAATTTTCAATGTATCTGTCTGCATTATTAATTAATAATAATTAATATTCAGACACTCACATTTTTATTTACAATTCCAGGCATGAATTCTTTATGAACGATCATCTGAACTTTTAAATTTAATTAAGTGATTTGGAAGTAATTAATGTGTAAATTCAGAACCGTGCCATAAGATAAATGTAGTGGCTGTTTATCTTCAGAGTGCAGTGTAGATTACTAAAGACCCTTCTGAGATGCAAAATCACTGGAAAACCGTAAGGTGTCCACAGCCCGGCTTGTAAAGTGGAGACATTTTCTAGACATCCACCCGTTGGTTGATTGACCTCCTCAGGGAGCGAGGCCGCTGTCCCTGGGCTGTGAGTCCAGCAAAGTCCACGGGCAGGTGGGGGCCAGGGGAACTGCCAGGCCAGGGAGCTCAGAAGCCCTTCCCCCACAAAACAAAACTTTTCTTAAAGAGATTTGAGGGAATGCGCCCCAAAAGGCCATTGTCGGCTATCAAGTGTCTCAGATCTCTGTGCTGGCATTTTTATTGTGTCATTTCCTCAGCATTGCCTAGGAGGGGATAATCGGATGCGGACACACTTCTGAATGATAATTCAGCTGCTCTGGGATCGAACTAGTCTAATTTCCCTGGCCTTCTTGGACAGGATGCCAAGGCCCGACAGCAATGAGGTGTGATGTTTACTGAGTGCCTCTCCGCACCCGTGCTGGGCTCGCGGCTATGGAGATGTGATTTGCAGACTCCCATGTAATTCTCACCCAAGCCTGGGAGGAAGACAAGATTTCTGTTCCCACTTCAGGGATGACAAAACTGAGGCCAAGAGGGGTACAAGGGTGGCCGGAGACTGCCCGGATGACGTGTGGTGGGGACGACGTGTGAACACAGGGCCCCCGGCCCCGACGTCTCCAGGCTCAACCTTCACCCTCCTCCACACGGCTGTGCGCACACATGCACCTGCTTCAGGTGCTTTCTATGGACCTTTGTCACTGCTCCAATGACAGTGCAGTGGGCGGGGGTGGGGCCACTTCCCCTGCTCTGCATGGACTCACAACCCCTGAGTTGTGTTGCCCGGTTTGTGTGTGTGTGTGTGTGTGTGTGTGTGTGTGTGGTGGCCGTGGGTTCTGTGCGCATGTCTGTTTTAATTTTTACAAACTTTCTCTTCCTTCTCCCTCACCCCCAGGGCCAAACTTCTTGCCCCCGCTGTCCCTCCCGCCCCACCCCCTCATTATCAAATCTGCTGGCCACGCCGATCGTAGAACGTTATTAGCCCAGGGAACCTAGGCCGTCCAGGACTTGACTCCCAGGGTCTCCAGCACATCCTGGTCCCTGGCATCACTGCCACATTAAGGGACCCTAGGACGGGAGGGTCACGGACGGCCAAGGTGCCTGGGAAACCCACCGCCTGTGTGTTTACCCTGGTAGAAGACGTCCATGCACGGCTGGTCGGCGCTGATGACTTTCAGGATCTTGGGGTAAGCCGGAAGGATCCTGATGATGTTCCTGTGGTATTCCAGCAGCTTCCGTGCCGTCTCCAGCTCTGAGATGCCCTCTGGCACCACCAGCCGGTTCTGGATTTCCGCTTCGGGGGGCCAGTCAAAGGTGGTGTGATAAATCTCTGCAAGGGGACAGGCACGTGGTTAGAGTCACCCGCAGGGGGCCGCCGAGGCCGCCAGGGCATCTGGCCGGGGGGCTTGCCGTCCAGGGGGCCGAAGTCTGGGAGCCCGCCCGGAGCCATGCGGATGCGCTTTGCCTCCGGAGCTGCTCTGACATCTCTGTTAACGATAACAAAACGCCGAGGGTTCTCAGCACGGCGGGAAGGGCGGCCACGACTTCGGAGCACGTGCTCCGAGCCGGGCACTCTGACGGACCCCACCCGCACACGCTCGTCTTCACAGCCATCCGATCACAAGGCACGGGTCACCCCGTGTCCAGGTGAGAAAACCGAGTCTCGAAAGGGGCGGGGCCAGAGTCCACAAACCCAGGTCTGTCTGCTGCCCCGACTCCTCCAGGCCGGGGCTTACCATCTCCCACGGGTCTAGCCCAGCCCGCCACACTGGAGCACGTGCCCGCCTGTGCGGCCCCCGTGTGGCCCTCTGCGGGCACCCCGAGCGGAGAAGGGCTCAGTAAATGGGGGGTGGGGCTGTCAGTCACTCCAACCGATCACTGACCACCTCTGAAACCCCATGGAGCGGGCAGGGGGTGGAGACATCCTACCTCCCGTCTGAGGGTCGATTCTCTTCCCCAAGTTTCTCTCAATCAGGACGGTGTCTGGAGAGCTCAGCACAACTGGACAGAGAAGGGAGAGAGCACAACCAGGCAGGTTGGGCGGCGGGTCCCAGACACTTGAATCTCGGGGGCTGATAACCTGTCTTGCGTCTCTCTTGCTATGTAACGACCACCCCCGACGTTCCCTTAGAGAGGTCTGCTCAGCACCCAACCGCGAAGGCACAGTCTCAGGCCAGCGGACAGCCCACACTTGAACGTCTCCTCTAACAGTTTTCACGGTAACAACGCGATGAGCAACGTCTTGGTGGGAATGCTCTTGCCACATTTTGGATTATTTCCTAAAGAGAGCTTCTCAGAGGTGGGATTCCCGGAACAAGGAACCGCCAGGGTCAAAACAAAACTCCATTTTTCTTACTTAAAAATTTTTTTTAATGTTTAGTCATTTTGAGAGAGAGAGAGAGGGAGACAGACATGAGTGAGGGCGGGGCAGAGAGAGGGAGACACAGAACTCAAAGCAGGCTCTGGGCTCCGAGCTGTCAGTACAGAGCCCAACGTGGGGCCTGAACCCATGAACCGTGAGATCATGACCTGAGCCAAAG